CCCTGCATTCCTGAGTCACAGCCTTTGTTCTCTGGACCTGAGAACAAATGTCCAGAAGAAGCAGTCTGCTGGCAGCCAGAACTCCCCGGACGGTGGAGCTGGACAGAAGGGTTCCCGGATCAAGGTGCATCTGTGGACAGTGTTCTAGCCTCATCTTCTTAGGTGCATGGGAGCAACATTCAATACTTTTCATAAGTTGACACGAGCTTATGGATATTTATTAACACATTATATTGAATGCTTACTACATCTGGCATTTGCAGGGCAGAGGAAGACAAACTCTAGCTCTGGCCGTAATTGAGGCCCGATTCTCAAAGCCCCACAGGTCGAGGTGCAAAGGAGAGAGCTTCTCGCTTGGGCACCTACTAGGGCCAGCACAGCTCCTCACACCTGGTGCCACACCTTGGGCCCAGCCCAGGGCATCAGTGGGCAACTCGTTCTCTTTAAAATTCTTGCAGCTGGGTAAATGTGGCCCAAACAGTGTATACATGAGTGTCGAATGGGGACAACCACGGATCTTAAAAGTGGTTTCGTTTACGGGTCTTCCTCCTGCCATAGGCTGTAGGCTTGCTTCAGGCTGGCCAGGAACAGAGCTGTTTAGTAAATGCTGCATGTATCCACCATTAAGGGCTTGGATGTGTTTGCTCCTGACCCAGGTTGGAGATTCCCGACTGTCTCTTCTGAGGACCTCTCTTATCTGTCCTGAAATGTGGTGTTAGCCGTGGAAGGCATTTCTCAGAGAACGACCAGCAGGCCCGGTGCCAGCCTCTTCCCTGATGGTATCCATCAGAAGTCAGGAATGAAGGAGGAAGGGCCTACAGCAGGATCTTAGAGGGCAACCGCCTAGTGTCACCATGGCCAGCGCCACTCAGGGCAGCTGGCGCCCTGTCCTCCAGGAGCTGGAGCTGTTACAGAGTGGTCTGGTCACTCCTGCCCCTCCAGGCGGCACAGCCCCAAGAGTGCTCCCTCCACTTGGAGGAGCCCCATCAGCGCCTGACCTTTCTCTTCTTGTCATTGCTGACTCTCATGCACAAGAACGAGCATGTCCGCCGCCTCTGAGCACATGGCCGTCAACTCTAGGCCTGCCCACGTCTCAAACCCATTTGGATTGCAAAGCCGCAAGCCCTATACGCCCAGCCCTAGAAAGGGTGGCTCTTTGCTCCTTTGCAGGGATGGGCTCCCACGGAGCAGAAGGCTTTCTCCCCAGGTCCGTTCAGCCTTCTCCAGACAGGCACCAAAATGCTTCCTTCTGCCTGTCCTTGGCATGTGCTTGTGCTGTACTTGTTCATGCGGCTTTTTATGGCCACAGAGTCTGGAGCCGATTCGTTGGGCTGTGCAGGCCTGTAGGACTGCACAGAGAACTTCAAGTCGGCTGGGCGCGGTGGCTCATGCCTGTAGTCCCAGCACTTTGGGAGGCCAAGGTGGGAGGATCGCTTGAGCCCAAGTTCAAGACTAGTACAGCCAACATAGTGAGACCCTGTCCTAAAAGAAACACAGAAATTAACCAGGCATGGTAGTGTGCACTGTAGTCCCAGCCACTTGGGAGGCTGAACTGGGGGAATCGATTGAGCCCAGGAGGTAAAGCTGCTGTGAGCTGAGATTATGCTACTGCACTCCAGCCTGGGTGACAGAATGAGACCTTGTCTCATTGAAGGAAGGGAGGGCTGGAGGGAGGGAGGGAACCTAAATTTCAGAGGATTAAATACACTGCTGAGGACAAAGACAATGACTTTGCCCAGTGATCCTCCAGTCTCTTGCACCAGAGTCATTTAAACCAACGCAGAGCCAGGCCCCTGAGAGAAATCAGACATTAAGTGAAGAGAGAGAAGCCAGAGAACAAACCGAGACTCCCAGCTCCCACCCAGTCCACTGCTAGCAGGAATATCTGCTTCCCTGGAGACGTTTCCACTGTGTGACTGGCATTTTCTGGGGAAGATGTGACAATTCAGCAAACAGAGGTGGAAGGGCTCGCAGGCCGGAGGGATACATAGATATATAAGTCAGTGGCGTCGAGTGTCCCAGGTTGGAAATACGGGCAAATCAATGCGTCTTCCGCTCTCATCCCGTAAAGGAAGTGGGTGTGTAGTCACACAGCTTACTGAGCACTTGCCATGAGTCAAGGTCTGTGCTAAGAGTCTTCGATGCATTATCTCATAACATTTTCACGATAGCCTTAGGAGGTGGTTATTGCTATTTGAGGACCCAGATACTTCTAACAGCCAAGCTGGGTTCCTAGGTCAGGGCCCATCAAGTTGTGAATCTGGCCTTGATCACAGTCAGCGGCTCCATCACTGGCGTGAATGCTGGCTCTGCGTGGGGGACCTCTGAGAATGGCATCCACCTCCACGAACCCAGCAACTTTCTGCAGTGCCTGGGCCTGCCACGAGGTCATCTTGCAGGAGGCTCAGGACAGCGTGCACCTGCTCCATGCAGAGTGAGCAGCACAGGGTGTTCTCTGGCCTGATAAATACATGGGGAATTTAATTATCTGATGGGCAGAAGCTGCCAGGCTGCCATGCCTGCTGCACAGCCAGCCGAGGAGGAAGAATCAGGTTATGAGACTTGGTGAGCTCAGCAGGTGAGGCGGTAGGCTTGCCCCAATGTGGGAGCCCCCTTGAAGGCCGGCACACGCAGATTTCTCTGGGCCAGTTGCAGTCGGAGTGTAATGCACCAGTGAGGGAAAAGTGAGGTATGGGGATGAGAGGAGCTGCAGAATAGGAGCAAGGCGGGAACCCAGGGGTCCCGACCCTCATCACAGCAATGACACCACCTCCCAGCTCTTGCAAAGAATGCTCATGGGACAAACATGGCTCATCTATTAACCCATTCTATCCTCTCAGCCACCCCTGAGGCCCAGTGTCACCGATGAGGAAACCGAGGCACACAGAAGATGACCTGCCTGGGGTCTTGCCTTGAGGGAGGCCTCCTCCCTGTCACATGCCATGCTGCCTTCTGCTACAGGGCTGCCCCCTCCCCTGCCCCTGGTTAATGACCCAGCAAATTCCGCAGGATCCAAAGTACACAGGGTAAGGTCCCAGCTGCTCTCACAGGCACCTGCTGCTTTATGGGCAGTCATAAATGCGCCGTGACCTTAAATAACACGGGCTACGGGACACTCCACAGGTGCACGTCCACAGGTGCCCAGCCAGCCTGTGCGGATGCTCAGACGTTACCTGCCCAGCTCCAAGCTGCTCTCCCATTCACATGTGGGGCCGACCTCCTGCCCCACCGCACTGCAGGGACTAGGTCCCTCTTCTCCACACGTTCCTTCTCCAGAAAGGCTCCTGCTTGGGCCCCCATGTGGATGTCACTTGCTTGTGACAAGCCCTCTCAGACCCCTCACTCCCACAGCCCATCCTGCCAGAGGTAGGAGCATGGCTTGGTCCTCATCTCATTTACTAGTCGTGACATTTTTGTTCTCCGTGCCTCAGTTTCCCCATTTATAAAGCACCATGGCCCTGGGATTACAGCAGTGTGTGTGAGGCAGCAGGTGGGACTTTCGCTGCTCCTGGGCTGAATGGCACCTGGTATCACCTGGCACAGCAGTGGTCTCTATTCCACCACATGGCCCCGGGAGGCGGGCACCCAGCACAGACTGGGCAGTCTGCAGGTGAAGGAGAGAGAGCATTCTTGAATATTTGTGCTGAGTGAGGGGGAAAAGCATAAATAACCCCAAGAGAAAATGTTCCTTCCTAATGGCAGGACCTCAAAAGGTGGCAGTGCTCAGAAAGCAGGGTCGGCCGTGGTACTCTGGAGTAAAAGGAAAGATGTGTCCCTTTTCCCCTGGCATGGCTCTACCCTACGAGGGTGCTTTTACTCAGCCTCTAGCCTCTTTCCATAGTTCAGGAGGAATTTGACACTTCTGTGGTCAAAAGCAAGAGAAACTGAGACCCTCTCTGAGGTTCACTGTTACTTTCATTCTGTTTTTGAAAATAAGGCCAAGACATAATAAAGGGCACAAATCCATACAGTTTGATGGACTTTTGCATATGTATACAACCATGAAACCATCCCTTGAACCAAGGCTTGGAAGATTCCTCCTTAGGTCACTGTAGGACTGAGAGACACACACCTCCTTATACCTGGTGTATTCATCAGAAATGATCTCACCCTTGGGAGGGATATAATCTCCCACACCCCCAGCAGGCTCGTTAACAAGGCCATATATTGGTAAAATATATGTGGTGACATTCACATCGTAAAACAAAACAAACCACACACATGGGTAGGAAAAGCAGGGCATTCCCTTAAACTAGGGTGGAAGATAAGGTTGTTATTAGCTAATGAGCCGATTCTTTGAAAATGATTAACTTCAGGAATACAAATACGGAACAAGGTGTATCCCTCCTTATCACCGGTCAAATACCCATGGATGCTTATTTGAATGCTAATAAAATGTACTGAAATCAGTATCTTCTGGATAATTTCGGCTTGTAAACGTTTTGAGAATACCTGGAGACTCATGTGTATGCAGTACGCGTTTCCCCTGGATGTAGCAAAGCTTGAGGTGACTTTCGTTCGTAATTGTCTTCTGTGGCTTTATGGCCAGGTTTCGTTTCAACAAAATCAATCACCAAAGAAGCCTGTGACCATGAGTTTGTGAGAAGTCTTCAAAGTCCTTTTGTTATAGGTGGCATTTAGTAGGTTTTTTGTCTGTTTGAGACCAGTCTTACTATGTCGCCCAGGCTGAAGTACCGTGGTGCCATCTTGGCTCACTGCAACCTCCGCCTCCCAGGTTCAAGAGATTCTCCTGCCTCAGCCTCCTGAGTAGCTGGGATTACAGGCACGCACCACCACACTCGGCTAATTTTTTTTTTTTTTTTGTATTTTTAGTAGAGATGGGGTTTCACCATGTTGGCTAGGCTGGTCTCAAACTCCTGACCTCAGGTGATTCACCCATCTTGGCCTCTCAAAGTGCTGGGATTATGAGCATGAGCCACCACACCTGGCTGTTTTTTTTTTTTTTTTTGAGAAAAAAGATAGGTGTGTAACGATCTTGCATGATAGGATTTTTTGTTCGGCAGGGATCTCAGGCAGCCCTGTTTCATCCATTGGCCATAAATCCTGTCTGTAAAGGCAGGTAACTTACTTCCTTCTCCCGGGGAAGGACTTTTTGGTCCTACCCAAAGCTCACTAGTTACAGAGTTGTCCTAGCGACAAAGACGCAAATCCAAGTTGCATTCATCACTGACCAAGGAAGGTGAGTTCATCTCACCTTGACTCACAGTGATGACAGGTCCAAGCCGCTGCCTGCGAGCCAGTTCCTATGCGGAGGTTTGCCGTGGGGGTGGGGGCTGCCATGGGGACCACCAGGCAACAGAATGGAGAAGAGAGGAATTTGGTTTGAAATGGAATTTGAGTCTTGAGAGGGGCTGATTTGGCAAAGGAGGAATAAACAAGCCGCGTGAGAGCATCCAGAGGCCTGGAGACCAGGGCCTGTCGCATGGCTGTGAACAATGACTGAGCACGGGCCAGGACCCACCCAAGGGAGTCACAGGGAACTGGAGGAGAAGGTGGGGGGCACCTGTGCGTTATGGTCTGTGACAGTTTTGTCTAGATTAGGGTTGAATGTGGGATGTCCTCACGGGACTCTGGTGAGCTGGGCGTGGGAAAGGCGATTGACCCCTTGGGGGCTGGTCACCACTTGACAGCTGGTCTCCAGTGGCACCTTAAGAAGGATGTGAGCAATGGGAGCCCCCAACCAAGATGAGGGGCGTAGGGACCCAGTGGCTGTCAAGGTCAGCAACCCACGGATCTCACAGAAGTCCATCAGCCTCCACAGATCTCACGGAAGTCCATCAGCCTGAAGGTAGGCATCTGGGAGATGACTAAAACCAGGTGATGTGGAGAGGGGGCACCCTCAGAACCCCCTCGAGCTGCCCACTGCTCCCTTCTGTGCTGCCTGCGTGTTCAGCCGCTGAGTTCCATGTGTTTTGGGAGATGGAGTATGCATCCCTGTGGGCTCATACGTCCTTGCCCTCACCATCCTCCCTGGCACCGTCCTTGCCCTCATCATCCTCCCTGGCACAGTGTAGAGTCTGAGCTTCCATCTGCCCCACCCAGGTGTCTCATCCCACCTGCCTCGGGGAGCCTGGCTGAACAGCAGGCACCACCCCAAGCCACCCCTTCCCCGCCAGAGCAGCTCTGGTCCGGGGCTTCACCCCCACAGGCAGGCTCCTTAGGCCTCTTTAATCTGCACGGAGGAAATTCAGAAATCCAGTCATCCTGAAACCGTCTTCTTCCGGGGCAGGACAGAACCCGTGTTTGTGGGTAGATGAGTGTGGCTGGTGGGGGTGGGAGGCGCATTTGTCATCATGCTCAGCCCAGAGCTTCCCAGATGTTCAGGTCAATCAGGGTGAACTCCTGAACTTCTCTGGGCCTCAGAGGCCTGGCCAGTGCCTCAAAAAGCCTCATCCACAGGTGCTTAAAAAAAAAAAGACTTGAAGCTCCTTTATAGATGCAGTGCATTCTAGAAATCTTCCAGCCCCAACATCACCAAAGGCAAAGAGAAGAAGGAAACTCACTATTCGAGCGGCCCCTGGGCCAAGACCCTGTGAAGCACCTTTGCGCGCCGTCCCCTAAAACACAATTCTGCCGGGCAGGTCTGGCAGCAGCCGGCCTGTATGTTTCCTGGAACACTGTGTGTCCGGTGTGTCCTGCAGGCTGCCCTGAAAACCTCCTCCCAATTCCCGAACCCTCTCTTTTCACATGCTGATGACTTTAGGGCAGGAGATCCCGGGGGCCATAAGGTTGTGGAGGTCAGTGGAGCTGCGGCTTGGGAGAAGCCCACCCCAGAGAACCATACAACTGGAATCCATCACATGCGGCTCTGTGTGGGAGAAGCAGGTGCTTCATTGCATGGGGTGGCTGAGATCTGGGGTTTGTTATTGCAGCGAGGACCTAGTCTAACACACGAGGTGTTATATGCATTTTACAGATGGCCAAGATGGTACAGGAAGAAGTGGCAAAGCAACACTTCAACTCAAACCGGCCCAACTTCCAAATGCATGCCCCTCCCCAGCGCTAGACTGCCATCTTTGACGCCATCTTCCACTGAGGTGTCGTTTGCCTTAAACAGGGAACTTCTGGCACCTGGTGGACTTTAACCGCGGCCCACTCTTCCTAGGGCCAGGCTTCCTCTGTGGGGTCAGCCTTGGATGGTCTGGGCTGGGAAGGTGGCTGATGAGGCCCCTTCGGCAGCCACGTTGGGGCACAGTCTCCTCCGGACATTTTTATTCTTTCCCAGACTCGTGGCAGGTAGGGAGGAAGCTGGGGGCCGGTTTAGAGGACAGAGGTGCAAACAGCGAGCAGAGAATGTTTGGCTGCAGTTGCTCCAGAGTTTCACTGGAGGAAACACAAGCCTCACAGGGCAGCCGTCAGGGGCAGGCGCACTCAGCTGGGCGCACGTCCACGCCGAGGCATCACGCGTGGTCTGGAGCAGCCGTCAGGGGCAGGCGCGCTCAGCTGGGCGCACGTCCACGCCGAGGCATCACGCGTGGTCTGGAGCAGCCGTCAGGGGCAGGCGCGCTCAGCTGGGCGCACGTCCACGCCGAGGCATCACGCGTGGTCTGGAGCAGCTGTCACGGGCAGGCGCGCTCAGCTGGGCGCACGTCCACGCCGAGGCATCATGCGTGGTCTGGAGCAGCCGTCAGGGGCAGGCGCGCTCAGCTGGGCGCACGTCCACGCCGAGGCATCACGCGTGGTCTGGAGCAGCCGTCAGGGGCAGGCGCGCTCAGCTGGGCGCACGTCCATGCCGAGGCATCACGCGTGGTCTGGAGCAGCCGTCACGGGCAGGCGCGCTCAGCTGGGCGCACGTCCACGCCGAGGCATCACGCGTGGTCTGGAGCAGCCGTCACGGGCAGGCGCGCTCAGCTGGGCGCACGTCCACGCCGAGGCATCACGCGTGGTCTGGAGCAGCCGTCACGGGCAGGCGCGCTCAGCTGGGCGCACGTCCACACTGAGGCATCACCCGTAGTCTGCGCTGAGCTCTATTCTCTGGGTTTTAGGACTTTCAGCACAGGCCTGGCCCTTCACGGTTAGTCTGGGTGATCGGGGACCAGCAACTGTAAGGCGGTGAAGTGTCACTGTGGAAGGGCACTGGCCGGGCCTTGGGGTCACAAAAGTGCCCCTGAGAAGTGCAGCCATTCAGCCTGGTGAGAGGAGAGTGAGCTGGGGGGATGGCGAGAGACAGGCGGATGGGTTGTGAGTGTGACCGCTGCTGAGCCTGTCTGAGACAGCTGGCAGTCACTGAAGGCTTGGAAGCAGAGGTGACACTCTGCCTTGTGGTTTGGAGAGATCACGGTGGCTGCTGTTTGGGGATGGAATGCAGGCTGCTCCTGGCTGTGGGCAGTGGTGGGCAGTGAGGGGACAGAGGAGAGTGGATGGAGTTGCTGCCCCCGCACTCCTGCTGAGAAAGTGTCCACGGGGCCAGGCAGGGGGTGAGTCACACTAGGCCTGCTCTGCCTGGCTCTGTATCTGTTTGGTGAGCTGGAAGGGACAGCTTTGCCTTGCCCCTTGGATGGACATCGATGCAGGAGTGAGGGCCTGTGTCTGAAGCTCTCTGAGGCACCACGGGAAAGGTTCCCACGGGCTCAATGCAGAGATACTGGGGCCGGTGTGGCAGGAGGGGTGGGTGTGCAGGGCCGGTAGGGAAGGAGACTTCAAACAGACGGGCTGCCCCCCAGGGAACCTGGCTGGGGCCATTCTCAGAGTCGAACCATCTTCATCCAGCTCTGAGGCTTCCCCAGGCCAGTAGTGTCCTTCCTGAGAGTCTTTCCTGTGATATTTATGAACAGGGGCCAGGCCCAGATCACAGAAAGCTACAGAATGCCTTGGCTGCCTAGGGGAGTCTGGAATTCCTTCAAAACGAAGCTTCTAGACATCCCTGTGGATGCCTCTGTTTGAGGACGGGTGCTTTAAAGGCCCAGGAGAAAGCTCCCATGACGCTGTGTTCCTGACACCCCATCACCTTCCTGGCACAGGAGAAAGCTCCCATGACGCTGTGCTCCTGACACCCCATCACCTTCCTGGCATCTTGGCTGGCAGGACCCTCCGGGACCTCACTCCTCTGAGATGCACTGCAGACCTCCCTGGTGACAGCAGCGTTCTGGTGACTCAGAGGCAGCTGCTGCGATGACCCTCCAGACCCGGGGCAGTGACTGTGATGGGGGAGCTGCTGAAGCCGGGTCTGTGAGGCGGCCCTGGCTGGCTCACTGGGATTCGGTCAACCTTGAAGACTTGAGTTCCAACTCTGTTTCGTTGGACTAGGAGCACACAGCCAGCCAAACCCTGGTTAACAGAGTGCCGAAGATCACATGGAGAAATGAGATAGAGAGAGAAACCCCGAACGGCGCTGTTGCCATGCCTCGGAACCTCTTCCCCACCAGCATTCTGACTTTATTTTCTCGTTTCTAGTCCACATTTTGTTGGAAAATTGTACACATTCACGATAGCAAACAATACAGCAATACGCTTCTACATACTCTATCATCAACAGTTTTCAATTCATAATTCACCTTATTTTATCAATCTTTCCTGTACCCCCCATGCTATTTCTAGGCAAATCTAGATAACCCACCCTTCCAGCCTTAAACATTTCAGGATGTAACTGACCGAAGCTTTTTAGTAGAATTGCTAGGTAGGGAGGAAGTTTAAGTTTCCATGACTATGCCAAGTCACATTCGAAAAGAAGGCAATGGGGAGAAATAGACATTGTGAATTCACACTGAATAACGGCGCAGAGACAGTTCCTTTATTTGAGGCTAAATGGAGACAGAGCCTCAGATCCCCTAGCTCACTCCTCTCTGGCCGAGAGGGGAGGAATTTGCATCTGGGTGGGGAGCAGTGAGGAGGGAGTTTCGGGGTGGAGATGGAAGGTAGTAGGTAGCAATCCACTAACTGGCCCCATAAATGGTTTTGTGAGGCAGAAGCAGCTGTTTCGTGGGGGACTTGTGAGACTCTGAGGGAGGAGGAGGCCTCACATGCCAAGGTAGCCTCTAGAGTCTGGGTTTTGGGAGCCCTGGGAGATGGCGGCCTCCATGGTCAGAGGACAACAGAGGGGGTCAGGACCATGAGGACATAGAGCTACAGGTGTGGCTGCTGGTGGGATCAGGTGGTCTGACGACAGAGCACCACAAGACATCCCTCAGGGACCTGTGTCGTTTAGAGACACTTCCCTCCGCAGATATGTGGCCGTCAAATGGCTGTGCAGCCCGAGAGCGAGCTGTGAAATGGACCCAGTGCAGAGGTACAGCCGTTTGGAGGGTTGGGGCCATGGTCATGCGTGGAGGGGCTGCCTACAGGGCCTGTGGACCTTGGGGGAGGGGCAGCATGAGGGGAGACCTGGGGGGGACACAAGGAGAGGGGGACCTGGGTGGGACACCAGGAGGTGGAGACCTGTGGGGGACCTGGAGGGTAACACCAGGAGAGGAGGACAGGGGTGGGGAATATGAGAAACATTAAGTTTCCCCCGCCCCCATGCCTCCCTCGTGTAATTAGTGGTAGGCGGGTAATAGCTGCCTACTTGACGTATTGTAAGTTACATAGAGCACCTATGTATTAATGAGAGGCACCTGTGTAAGAGCAAATAACTATTCGGTTAAAAGTCTGCTCAGGCCTTCGGTCTGGAGAGCTGTCAGCCTCGCAGGCTCCCAGGCTGTTGGTCCCCAGGATAGATCCGCTCTGTTGTGCTCTCTGGGTGTCTGCCTCTCAAACACCTGCAGGCTGCCTGGGTGGGGGTCTCCTGGTTCAGCTGGATCTCGGTAGGGGGACACCACAAGAGGGGTGGGGCTTGGAGTTACTCTGCCATCT